GATTCTCTGGGTCATCTCTGCATTGTGTCTTTTGGCAGGTTGTATGTTAGAGCTGTAAATGCCTGGTTTAATACCCTGGGTTTTTCAGTTTTGCCTTCAATCTATTGCTCCATACTGTTCTTTTTATTTGGATGTGTTTTCTTTTCTTTTGGCTACTTCTTTGCTTGAAACCATCATCAAACTCAAGAGTCTGTATTGTCTCATTAAATACCTTGCATCATTTTTGGCAAAGAAACAAGAAGGAAATTTCCACTTGAGCAAGATTTGGAAGAGCACAGAAGATTCCTGACGCTGGCAATTAATTTAAATCCCTTTTTGTTACCAGCTTTGAAACCCTGGGATCATATCAGAAAATGTGTTTCTAGCTCCCCTAGTGAGCTTTAAATCAACCAGACCTCAGCGAATAAAATGTGGCACTGTGATTTCTTGCCAAATTGAAAATAAAATGGTAACCGACTAAAAATTAATTTGCGCAATGAGGAACTCTCACAGTAGTTTAAGAAATAGTCCTGTTTGGCTGATGCTTTATGATTTGATGGGCCGCGTTTTGTGTCCATTACTTTGGGTGCCTTGATTTAAGTCTCTCGTGCTACCTAGGGTGCAGCGGGAACAAAATGAGACGTAGGCCCTCTGTGCCTAAGTGGAATGCCAGGAGCACTGCAGTTGTGTCCTTAAAGATTATTACCCCCAGTGCCCACCGGAGCTGAGAGAGGGGTGGCATAATATACAGAGATATAAATTCTTTGAGGCAGAGCATAGAATTTTACAACCTAAGTGTAATAGGATGTATTGCGCCATCAGCGAAGGCTACAGAGTTTCATGTGATTAAAATAAAAAAGGGTCCAAGAATATGCCTTTAACTACCATTTTAGCTGCAATAACTTTTGTCTCTTGTCATTTATATTGGCCATCGAGAAGGAGGCAAGCTGTAAGCTGTGCTGTAATAATAATAATAATATGAATAATAATTAATACTCAATTTCTCCTCTTTCAGTATACTTAAATTTCCACGTTTTCTTCTCAAAATAAAACATTCTCATGTCTAAAATCTCATATCTGTTTTCATGGTAACTTGGAAATTTATTCTGAAATTTTGTTAGTCCTTTGTGCTAGTACAGAGAGCTTTCATAAGTAAATTCCCATTAGAAGGACACTAATGGCTATAAAATCAGAGAAAGCTAATGAAAGAGAATCCCACAGGTAGTTACGGCTTCTTTTTCTCATCTTATTATGTTTGCTATCCTCTTTCAGAAATACAGATCCCCTTGGGCTGGGAGCCACTGAAAATCTTTGTGGTTTTTTATTTTATTTTAACAATCTATATTATCCCAAAGTCCCTTGATCACTATATTACAGTTAAGAATAAGAAGGAAAATTAGCAATAAATGTCTTGCTGTTTGTGAAATGCATACCACTGTCTTCAGGGAAAGCAGCTGCGTTATGATTTGATAGAAGGGAGGAACTTTTAGCACTAATTCAGCACCCCTCACTGCATTTCCTCCCCTACCCACCTACTGTCTTTATTCCTCATCTATGAAATGTTCTTGTATAAACGAGTGTTATTTCACACTGCCCGCTTTCTGCTATCAGGGTCTCATCAGAGACCAATTCTGAAAGGGAGAAAAAGCAGTCAGCTGGTGTACCATGACCTTACTCAAATTAGGGACCGGGGTCCTCCTTGTCATCTCTGTGGGTTTGGACTTGTTGAATATAGGGAGGTGATTTTATCTGTAAGAGACCTTCAGTTGTACCTGTGCCCTCCTTCAGCTGTTGACCTAAACTAATCCAAAAGCAAGTGGTATTTTGCAAGGATAAGAGGCATGAAATGGTTAATCCAAATTGTGCTCTTTTTTTGGCCGCAGTTTTCCTATTCTTTAGGACTGTAGTTCTTTCGGAAAGATCCCTAGGAGGCGTGAATTTGACCCAAGTCAATCAGAAAGAGTCTGACTGCAAAACATCCTGATAATTTGTGTGGGAGACAGCACGAAATTCTGCCCAAGAAGGGAAAGTAGGAGGTGGAGAGGGAAAACCAATCTTTTAAATAGCCTTAAGCATGGGGATGAGCTGGTGGTGTCTCATACACCCTCCTTTCTCATGTCTTAATCTGCCAGACATCTTATCATGATATTTAAATGAATATTGTGGGCCTGTACTTCTTTAAAAGGTCTATTATTTGCTCTCTTTTTTTTTCTTTCTATCATCCCAGCTTTTAAGAGTTTTTTTTGCTCTTAGTTTCCTACTGGCTTTGTCCCTGTTTTGAAACAGCTTTATACTTGGATCGTGGTTTTGCCTCAGCCGCATGCAGTCTGGCATTTCCGACTCCACAAGCACCCTGTGGTGCTCGGCAAATATGAAAACCATCCAGTGTGAGATGGAAGCCCAGAGCAATGTTCCCCTGGATTAGCACAATTATTACTTTTTGCAATCTGCCTTTATTTGCATTTAAATCTGTGCACTTCATACTTCACGTTTAAGAAACTTCACAACTTTTTATTTATATATGCACGGTGGCTACCTTAGAAGTTGCCTTCTCTGTCATGTTTGAAGCAAAAATTAATTCAGAACACTTAATCCAGATCCGAATGTATGTATCTGTCACTTCAGAGTAGTGATGCATTCAGGTTTAAGGTGCCCGTATGATCCACTGTAGACAGGAACAGTTTGCAAAACCAAGTTTTAAAATGCCCTCTGTCAAACCAAAAAGCTTTATGCACACTTAGATCTAGAACAGTCTGGCAAAGAGGAGAGAAACAATAGCAACTAAGCACCTTCAGTACATTAAGTACCTGCCAGTTCTGGGGGCTATTTTGGAGAAGAAAACTAAATAGATTGAAAGTCCTGTAAGAAACCAAGAAATGAATTGCATTGCTGTGAGCTTTAAAGGCATGATAAAAGTGCTTAGGTGAGTCTCCTCTTCCCTCTTCCAAATGTGAGATCTCTAAATCAGATGTGTATATTAGGACTTATTCAAAGGGAACAGCATATGCTTTCATTGTTTACCTCTTCTTTTTCAGAGGTGTTCATGGCCATTTCAATGGTCAGCGCCCCTGGGCTTTGGCAGATGAATGTATCCTGGATGTGATGGCAGACCTGGTTGGTGAGTGTGAACTGCAGGGAAAAACATTTCTCTAGAAATGGAAACATATTTTTCTTTTGAAAAATGAAAACGTTTTTTTTTCTTAAAATTGAAGGTCCTGAAACTGTGTAACTGAATCTAGTTCCTTGCATTTGATTGCTTTAAAGCAGTTTTTCTGACTGCCTTGTGCACAGACTAATACTTAAGGCTGCAAGTGATTTATGAGATGAATGTATGTGATAACACAAGAGCATACGCATATCATGAAGCTAATGGCAGCAAAGGGTTTTTTGGAGGATCATAAACCACTTGGTCTAACACGTGAAGCCCTTTTAAAGGGCACTTGGTACTACAGATTCTCATCTGCTCTCCTAGAAGTGAACCCATGAACTTGTCCCTTTGAGAAATGATTTCTATCTAGACATTTTCTGCTTTTCCTCCTTTCCCTGCCTCTAAATCCAGCCTCGTATTTGTGAACTGCTTCTGTCAATGAAGCAGATAATTGGGGCAGGATCTGCTATTTGTGCGTCCCCATTACCCTCTCAAGGAGTCGGCAGCGCTACCAGACCTTGGCAGCCAAGGCGTTTGGTTATTCCAGAGATGGAGGAGGAGCCCTGGAGGCTTCTCCTGGTGCATTTGCCAGGCATCTGAGTGTGAATGCAAATTCCCTCCATTGCCTCTTACTCTAACCTGTGTGTGGTTGCTAAAATAATCTTTCTCAGGGATTTCCTTCAGAGTTGTTAGTGTTGGGAAGGGGAAACAAAATGATCTTGGCAGGGTTTCTACAGATTCTTTTTCTCCCCAACCCTTACAGCCGTTGTCAAGGCTAGGACAGTGGATTTTAGCGAGATTTGGCCAGTATTTCAATTTAGCTGTTGAAGGCAACTGTCAATATTCACTGCCAGGACTGAATTATAGTCTGTTCATTTGTGCCTTCACTAAGGAAAACTATTAAGGTTAAGTCGACCTACTCTATACTACATATTGTCTTGTAATTTCTCCTCTATAGGCAAGTGTTCAATGAAAAATTTATGGTTTTCCTCCTTCAAGAGAAGCAAGTGGGGTCTGAACAATTGGAGACAGATACATTAAGGAATGTTTCATGACAGGTTTATTTATGTATTTATAAATAAAGCCACTTCCCGACTTCTTCATGAAGTTTCCAAATAGCTCAAATACTAGACATTATTATTGCAGCAGAAAAAATACAAGAAAACATTGTTATAGGTGGTCTATCCATGATGTAAGCATTAAGATAACATGAATTTGGCTACACTGGGAATCATTGGGCTGTGTGGAGTGATCCCTTCTGCAGAATTAACTAAAAACCAAAATGCAGATTGGTTGTGCTGATTTTGGAAGTTGCTACTGTAGTGCTCTGTATTGTTCAAGTGGTCAAGAAATTACTTTTGTTCGTGTGAAGTAATCCCTTCTGCAGAATGAAATAAAAACTAAAATGCAGATTGGTTGTGCTGCTTTTGGAAGTTGCTACTGTAGTGCTCTGTATTGTTCAAGTGGTCAAGAAATTACTTTTGTTCTTTCATTATGCTCAAGGACAAGCTCAGTACATTCTTCTGTTACCTATAATAGAACATAAAAATTAAGAATATAAAGGGGTGAAGGATGTTGAAATGCTGAATACAGCTAATTTAGGGATTTTTCTAGTTTGACTGCTCTTTCCCAGCAAGTGGATGTTCTTGTTCTGGTAGGGTGTAACTAGGAAGCTGTGTGGCTGCTCTTTCCCAGCAAGTGGATGTTCTCGTTCTGGTAGGGTGTAACTAGGAAGCTGTGTGCAGGTGGGGAAATGTGACTTGTCACACAAATAGCCCTATGCATAGTAAGGGCTTTTAAATTGGAAACCTTGAATTTGATTACCTGGAGGGTGGAGAATTTCTCTTATGTCTTATGAGAATGAGAGAGCAGTGACACTGCATACTTTTGGGCACCTAAATTAGCAAAGTAACAAGGCAAGACCATTGATGTTCTCCATATAACCAGGAGAGAGAGCCAAGGTCCCCCAAAGTGCAGTCTACCATCCTCCTCTGCTTCACCTTGTGTGAATATTTGCCACTGCTCTGTTTGCAAAACACAGGCCCCAGTGAGCTCCCCGTGGAGCATTGGGGCAGGCTGGGCACCCACCTCCTACCCGCACTGGTGCCGGGGTCAGTTTGGTCTCAGCTTTAGGTCAGGAGCCACTGCAGAAAGCAGGGAGTCAGGCAGGGATTTCTTTTCCCTTTGCCATCTGGCTTGTAGAGGTTGCCAGCTCAGTGTGCTTTATAATATTTGTTTAACTATAAGACGTATTCCGGGTGTAAGGAGAGGGAAATGAGAGCTTTGCTTAAATTCCATCTAATTGCTCATCAATCTCCTTATTTTTCTTTCTTTTCTTTTCCAGACTCCATATAACACTGGTCCTTTATTATTTTTTTTAAACACTATGGCCAGACTATGCTGAACTTATTTCAATTTTCTTCATTTTAAACAAATATTTCAAAGTTATCTATAAAAATTATGGCTGAGGTAATCCTACCATTGATTTTTAAAAATCTTTACTTGGAAGTGTGTCACAGCCCTGTTGTTCTACTCAACAGTAAAGCGCACATCAACTTTGTCAGTTTGGATTTTGTTCTCCAGAATGTTTGGGTCTTTGGTTACTTGAACTATAAAATTATGATTTAGGCTCGAATCTGGCCTTCAGATTTGCATGCCAGCAGGTTTTTATTTATATAATATACTCAAGTTTTTTTCAGGTCCTAGGTGAGCAATTCTTAGAATGTCAAGGAATTGATGTTGCCCAAATAAGGATGCATTGTAAAAAAAATCTGATTTTTAAAATTGAAAGTAACAGTGAAAAAGCTAAGAGAAGAAATGCAAGGAAAATGTTATCTTAAAATGCTCTCTTCCAGTGTGGTATTTACAATTAAGAACTGTTTTCCAGCAAAGTGTAATACCAAGTCTGTATGAGTTGAGTGAATTTTGAATTTCCTTTTTTAGTGAATTTAATGTGAGAACAAACCCAGAATTTCACTCTGCTTTTTACTCAATATTTAATATGTTATGGAGGAGGAGGAAGAGTTGTCATTTCTCACTCTGAGTACTAGTAGTAAGTAAAAATTATTTGGTGTGATTTATTCAGGAATGGACTAAAGACTGTAAAGTATCTTTGTTGATTTAATGGTTTATAGAGCTATAACACCTTGCTTATTAAATGCAGTCACATTTTCTTGTTCAATGAAAGTTACAGTACTAAATACATTGTGGGATGCAAAGTCAAGGTCAGTGGAGGCCAAATCTTTTTTTCCACGCTCGTGCTGAGTGGCATAACATGGTGTTGGTAATCTCAGCTTCTCCTGCCGGCCTTTATTAAAACATTACAACCTTGGCAGGATCACCTTTTGATGGAACAAGATTAACTGCATGGCTGCTGCTCTACAGTGCGCTCGGACAGGTCTCTGTTGAGGGAAGACTGAACGCTGTGCAGATCTGTAGTGACTTTGAGTGATAAGGATCATTTGAAATAACCAAAATGTTTTCAAAATTGGGGCCCTTAGCCTTTTTTTCAATCATTTTACAAAATGCTTTTTACTTACTCTGGTGAGGACCAGGCTCCCACTGCAGTCACAGAGGAGAAGGATGGCAGTGTCTGCCTAACACAATCATAATTGTCTCTGAAGTTGTACTTTGCAAACGCTGCTTCCCTTTATTAAAGAGGAGATTTATCAAGAAGAACATACAGATTTTAGCCTGGCTTGGAGATATGATATAAAGTTAGGAAATAAAGAAAGCAAACATAATTTTTTCTCCTGTGTGCCGGGTCTTTGAATATTGTAATAGGTTAATTGGATCATGGAAAGGTTGTTTTCTGAAACGCAGTGCAGGTTATAAAGGATAACAGTTTTCCAATGACACGGATGAGGTTTGTTTTGTGGGCATGAAATTCAATAATGGAAAGCTTTTAATAAATATATAATTTACGGAAGACCCAGACTTACATGACAAATGTAGTGTCATATTTAATTTGGGATGCTAGCATGCAGCTAAAAGTGATCTACAGATTAACCATTTGTTTTATACGTAAACTGTACAGCTCATGCAGAGTTTGTTGTGAAAGCCTCAGATTTCACAGAAGGAGCAGAGGGAGAAATAAGAACAATACAATTTCTTGATGCCATCCCGTTTTTCAGCCTCAAGAGTCCAATAGAAATATTAAGACTGCAAATAATACTGTTTTGAGCTGCAATCACTCTCTCTAGCTGCCTTCTGTATCTGCAATAGAACAGCCACAAGGTGACCTGCTCCAGCAGCATGGAGCTTGCAGATGCAATGCTATCAGAAGAAAGAAAAGATAGAAAAGGAGAGGAGTTTAAGTGAGGAAAAGAGCTTATTTTTCCCTATGAAGGACTAGGTCTACTTGCATTTCTTTGCACAGACTTGATGATGTTCCTCGTGTCTGAAGGAGGGAGCTGATTCATGACATCTCTTTTTGCTCCTGGCTCATCCCATGGACAGATCCTCCAGAGTCACTGGCAACTATTGACAAACCTTCCTGTCCAATACTTGGAGATTTCAGCAACATAAAGAAAGGCCCTCGAATACCTGAATCAGAATGGCTCTTGGCTTTTCCTGTGGTGGCAGAAGCTGAGGCCTACTTGGCAGGGATCTATGAATAAACCCTTCCTAATTACAGATTTATATGTTCTTTGGCTATACTTGATTGCATTGAGTTCAACCCATGGTTATGTCTTTTTCCTAGGCTGGCAAAGTGATAACTCCATGAACCTAAACTCTGTGTGATACAGTGGGAATGTCTCAATGCTCTTGCTGCCTTTCCCCTGTGGTAGTTGGATCCTTGTATGCTTTTCAAGGCTGGGACAGGAGAAACCCAGGATTCGCCTCTCTGTTTCTTGTGGCTCCCTTCACCCTTTTTACCCTAACATCACATTTTCCTTTCCCCTTTATAATCGCAAGGGTGTCTGTTACCTTCCCTGCCTGTTTACATTTGTCTTCATCCCTCCTTGCATTGAACCTCTTTCCATCTTTGGCCACCTCCTCCTCTGTGGTGATGACTATGGTGAGGTTCATAGGCCCATCTTTTGGCTGAAGAAGACCCTCCAAGCACTGGTTTTTGACAAGGGTGAATTACTGCTTCTCAACAACAGACATCAGGCAAAACGGAAAGAAACAGAGATTGGTTTTCTCTGTGTCCCAGTGGCGCCCTGCCCAATGCACAGTCAATCATCCTGCCTAAAACCCCTCACCAATGGTTGATAAGGGTTGGAGAATTTGTTACTAAATACTTTGTAATAACAATTAGTCGTTACTCTATTAGTTCTGCCTGTGATTAGCTGTAGCCAAAAAGCACATGTAATTAGCCTCCTTGGAGCTATGTGAGTATGACTTCTTCTTGCTAAGTCACTACTTTAATAATGGTCTGTAATATTCAATAGGGCAAATTTGCTTGGTTTTTTATATTAAGGATGAGATTTAGCTTGACATTACAGTAACCATGTAGAATAGGTGACTGTCTCAATATGTTTTCTGACTCGCTTTACATATAAACTTTTGACAAAATTAAGCTTGCAAATCTTGCTTTATGTGCAGTCTTCTGACCTGAAGTTTTGCCTGAGTTATTAATGATAATAAATCCACCAGTGGTTTGCCAGGAAATGGAAATACTTCATTGTTTTTTGTTTGCTGTGTCTGACCTGAAAATATAAATATTTTCTTGCCAGTGTTGCACAGTGAGTCAGACAAGAAATCTTTTTACTTCGCTGTGATGACACCTCAAACGTTTGTTTATTTTCCTGTTCTCAGAGCGACATTGACTGAAAATGTACTTCTGCTTTCTCAGCACTGTGCTAGATTTCTCTGAGAAACCCCTAACCAGTTTGTTTTTTTCTTTTTATTATTTTAGGGGCCCACAGACATGAAGTAGCCTTAATGAATGGGCTGACTGTTAACTTGCACCTCCAGATGGTATGTCTTTACTATGCTTATTTGATGTTGTGTTGACAAATATTATTTTACCTTTCTTTGTGAATGTAATCAAAGTGTTTTCTGAGGACTTCACAAAGACAGAACTGGATGATAGCCTGACTTTTCTTAAACCTTAGGAGCTGTATCTTGAATGATGCTTTAGCTTGGGCAAGATCCGACTTCGCTTAATATTAAGCAGAATAGCTGGACAGAAATATTTTCAAAGACTCTGTAAGGGAAGATTGAGTTTTTCTTGCATGTGCTGCACATCAATCCTCAGAGAATAGATCTTATTATTGTAAGAAACATTTAAAAGTAGTTTCTCAGATTTAAATTTCACACCAAATTTCAGAATTTAAGAAACGAGTTCAACTGTGAGCAAGGCAAACTTCTCAGTATGGTGACAAGCCCAACTTGCGTCCATGCACAGAGCTGAGAAGGATCCTTCACCTACAGGTGCTGAGGTGGATGAGTGACGTCTTTGCAGAAGGCTTCGTCCTTTGGTCGTGCTTGTTTCAGAGGAAGGGATGATTTATTTAATAACCAATATTTTAGGTTAGAAATGGAAATCCAGTTTCTTTGCACTGTCTTCTACTCTTCAGCTGCTGCTTTTGCTTGGGGGATGGAGCTGGGTGAAATCCCAGCATCCCTGGCTGCAGTCAAAGCTCTGCCATCGGTTCCTGTAAGTTTTCACTGCTGGGTTTTTGTGGCCTTTGTAATGGATACATGAAATACAGTATTATAATGCTTTTCTACTTCGATAGATGTTATATGGGCAAAGAAATATTTCTAATTTCTGGGGGATTCTCTGTAGTCTGCATGAAATGAAGGCAGTCTTTATTAAGTTATGTACTGGGAACATTTCTCATATCTGCTTAGATACATTTCAACATGTCTTTTTTGTTATTGTCCTTAACAGCTATCTTTCTTTAAACCTACTCCAAGACGCTATAAAATTCTTCTAGAAGCCAGAGCCTTTCCCTCTGACCATGTAAGAAATTAATATTTCACCATATTTGTATTATTAATCATATTTTTCCAAAGAATATCAGTAGTCCGATTTGAATATTTATTAGCTCATCTTGTCCAAGTAACATTACAATAAAAAAATCTGTCAGAAGCTTTTGAGCTCAGCATATTTTACAGATCGTAGCTCTATTCCTTTCGTTAAAGTAAAAAATGTTACAAGAGGAAAAGATTGAATGGGTACATTGATTTATTAGTCTTTTTAAAGACGTTGAGCAAACTACTGGCCTAAATCAACTGAAGTTGTAAATGTTTTATTAATTCTTGTTGCTGTTTTACTTTATGAAACCAAATCAATACAAACTCACAACACTAACACTTATATATCCCCAGACAGAGATGGAAATGTTTGTTCTTAGCACTTTAGATTACTAGTTCAAACATAATTTGTCTGCTATAAAATAGGAGACAATAGCCCGTGCATCACAGCTTAGAGCGAATTAATCTTTGGGTCTGTGGCCCACTGCTACTTTATCATCAACGCCATCAACTTGGGGAAATTGATAACAAATCTGATCTCTAAGGTGTGATAAAAAGGACTCGAGCTACTAACAGGTTTATTTGTAATGAAGACGGCGGCACAGATGTATAAACCTGAAATTGCCTTTATTCTAAATAATGTTCATACTCATCCCATGATTGTTCTTTGTGCACTTGTGCGTTTGGACTCCATCTTCTTAAATTTCTACAGCACTTCAGTAATAACCTGTGCAGCTGCCATTACTTCAGTTCCTGTCACGTAATTTGAAACTATTTTCCAGTGTTAATCGATGATTTTTTTAATCTTATTTCCAGAACCATTATTTGTTGATAAAATCAGTGGGTAGGATTTTCAAAATAGCCCAAGTTGGGACCTCTTATTTCCTCACAGCTATGCAGCAAATCTTAAGTGGTACATACGTGTCAACCTGGGATTTAGCATGTGCTACCAAGCAAAGTTGGGTACACAGGGTTAGGACTTAGGCTTTGACTTTGTCCTTGCTATCTGATGATGTGAATGAGATCTTGATCTTTCCCAAACTGAAGGAAAGCTAGAAAGTTTTCGATGGACTTAGACGAACCTTCTAAGTGTTAATTTTAGTGACATCTTAATCCCTTTTCTGAAGTTCTGATGTGTTTTTTCTCTTAGTTGCTTTATCACATAATTGTGCTAACGTGTTCTGCATGGAAATCTCTTCCAGTACGCTGTTGAGTCCCAGCTTCGGCTTCACGGACTTGATGTGGAGAAAAGTATGCTCCTGATGCAGCCGCGGGAGGTTGGTGAGAAATACGTCAGTTCTGGTTGCTGTCGCTAAGGGCAGAAGTGTATTTCATGTGAGAGGAGTCATTTATTCTCAAATATTCTAGTATCTGCCTGCAGAAGTTATAATCTGTTTCTACTAATACTTTTAGGTAAAATTTATGAATTGCTTATTCTGTTTCTGTGTATATTTTTATATTAGAACCCATTTTATTGTCTGATTCAACTAGCTAATTTTCCTTGAAATATAACAAAATTGTTATTTTTCCTGTGTGTTAAAACTGAGAGCACCCTGAGACAGCTGCAAAATACAGTAGCTCATTGAGAAACCTCAATGTCCTTTCAAAGTCCTATGGTAAAACACTGCCATAGCATGGGCACCACTGTCTGTATCAGCACAGACCGAGGGAAAGGGCTGCTTACGGTAATGTGCAATTCAGATTAATCTGAAAGTCTGACTTGCTTCATGTTTGCTCTATTAAGAACTTTGCCACCAAAGTATAAACCGATGGTGACCTTTTGCTTCTGAAATCTGAGTCATCTTTTGAGTAAAGAGCCCACTCCTGAACGCTTGATAGATTCGCAGAGATTGTTGAGATAATAACAGTTACTTGCAATTCAACAATCCTGCCCGAGTTCTTTTCAGTAACAAGTCTAATTTAATTCTAGGTTTTCACTGCCTAATTGATCCCTAGGTGGTGGTATGTTTTACATGATCCCTTGCTAGGAAGACAGGAGGAGGAAGGGGCAGTAATTTTCCTATAAAGAATCAAGAATGAGGGGTTTTTTTTGGTTGAAATTCCTCTATATTTAATGACCTCAGTTTTGGGGATTTTTGTACTTTTGATGATGTGAGACTTATTGTTTTTGAAATATAAATATGGCAGGCTTATAATAGCTTCCTGTGGGATATGAAGTTTATCAGAAAAGTACAGAGTGAAGCAGACAACTTTCAATTCTTGTGGGTGTCACAAATTTCAGGTGCCATATAAAAATCATTTTATATATGCTGTTTGCACCAGGATTTTTTTAACTGTAAATTAAAACTGTGTGAAATATTAAAGAACATGGAGCGTGCTAGAATATGGAGTGAATAGACTTTTTGTAACTGATACCTTCAAGATAAATTTGCTAATGATTTTTTTTTTGAGGTAACTTACTCATAGGCTACTTCATAGCACTACCTTTGTATATCATTACCGTGCTAAGGATTTGCTTTTGATCTCCTTATGCAAGCAGCACAGCTCACGGTAAAATATAGGTTATGAAATAAGAAATGACAGTTTCATTACTGCCAGAGTTGATGTAAAAATATGTGCTTTAACTTTGTTTTAGGGGGAGGAGACCTTGAGGATCGAAGATATCCTTGCTGTAATCGAGAAGGAAGGGGACTCCATCGCCGTTGTCCTGTTCAGTGGGGTGCAGTACTACACGGGACAGTTGTTTGACATCCCTAGAATAACAAAGGCTGGCCAAAAAAAGGTAGGATCACTTCGGACCCGTTCTTTAATCACTAATTTTGGATCATCGATTTTCAATATAGATAATGATAGAAATATTTTTAATTTCTACTTTTTGTGGAAGAAAACAGAGCACGTGGGGAAGCCTGTGGGGCTCAGATAAAAAGTAGGAGCACTCCATGCCCAGACCCTCTGGGGGCTGTGTGCTGCATGAAGAAATAGCCCTGCGAGAGCAATCTTGCGGGTGTGACTTTAAACTATATGGAGAGATAATTCATGGCTATTAACTTCTACAGGACTTTTCCTGAAGGATAGAATTTCAGGAGGTTCAGTGGAGAAGGAGGAGGAGGTAATCACAGCTCTAATCTCTCTTTAAAAGTTAGTTTGCTTTAGATTTCTGCTTTTTTGGCAGTGATTTTCCTCCATTCCTGCAACCATGCTGGGTTAGTGTTTGCCCCTGGTGAGCGGGGAGGTGACCTCCCCATGGAGCCAGCATTGTTCAGACACAGCTGATCAGTTTTCTGGAGACAGGCACAACATGGAGCACGTCAACATCACCAGAGGACCGTGTTTTAGTGATGACTCAGCCTTCAGAGCTTGCAGGCAGCGTGCTCTGTGGACATAGCTGTAAAACTTCTTTAACCATCTCAATTGCCTCAGAAATCCAGCAGAAAACAGTTTTTAATTAAGTTGTCTTATCAACAGGAGGTCACCAGAATTTCTGTAGGGGCAGACTTTTACTGGATGTACCTCGTCTCATGTAAGATTAAACCACTGAAGGAGAAACTTATTTAGTATTGCTGGGTTTTGGCAAACCAGCTAACTATTTACATCTGATGTTTTAACTCTCTGGAGAGGTTCCTGGCTCACAACAGGCTATACATCTTCTTTTGCTGTAGGTTTGGCAGTGGAAATTTTTCTGGAGGTCAGGGAGTAAGTTATGCTGCTGGAAAGTGATGGTAAAGTCTCCCTTGGGAGCGTAGAGCAGGTGTCAGAGCTATTCAAGGGCCCAGGGGATATAAAAAGGGAATGTTCTCACACAGCAGCACCTGGCAACAAAATTAGTCCTGAACAGAGCACAAAACAAGACCGACTTCTGATGTGGATGC